GCCAAAGCTCAACTTTAAACACTCTGGGAGCTGAGACAGAAGAACGCCAAGTATGAGGCCAACCTGAGCTACATAGTGAGTTCCAGACCAGATGAAGTTACACAGTAAAAATTTTTAAATTAAAAAAAAAAAAAAAAAAAAGACTCTTGCTGGGTGTGGGAACCCACACCTTTAATCTCAGCACTCTGGAGGCAGAGGCAGGTGGATCTCTGTAAAGCAAAACTCCAGGACATCCAGGTCTGTGACGTAGAGAAACCGTGTCTCAAAAACAACCACAACAAAATAAAACAAAAAGCAAACAAACAAAACCGCCAACCAACCAACTAAACAAAACAAGTCTTTTTTTTTTTTTTTTTTTTCTTAGACAGGGTTTCTGTGTGTGGCCTTGGCTGCACTGGACCAGGCTGGCCTCCAACTCAGAGATCCATCCCCTGCCTCTGCCTCCCCAGTGCTGGGATTACAGGCAGGCGCCACCTCACCTGGCCAAAATAAATCTTACAAGCAGAAACAGACTGTTGAAGTAGGAACGAAAGGGAAGGCTCAGGCTGGCCAAGGCTGGGGCTTAGCTCTCCTGGGCACTGTCTCTGCTTTCTGAGCAAAAGGTGCCAAGCTCTGGCAGTTGCAATCCCTGCCCCACCCCACCTGAGGCCTGAACTCACTGAATTGCAGGTTGCCTGGCTGTTCATGTCTGCAGATCAAGGAGGCCCTTTGCAATGCATGCATCACTGAAAAAGGAGAACATGGCGGGGAGCATCTAATTGATCCCCACAAGGAGTACATGATAGTGCAGTATGTAAGATATATCATGATGGCCCAATCTGTGAATGAATAATCCCTGAAAAAAAGAGTAAATGTTCTGAAGTTCTTTGATGACTGACTGTGGGCTGTAATTTACCCATATTTGTATGACATTAAAAGTAAATGAACAGCTCAGTGAAAAGAAAAAAGAAAAACAACAGCAGAGAGAATCTGTCAGACTAGGTAACAAACATGAGACAGGCTGTACCTAAGACATGCACTTGAAGCACGTGGACACGGAGTAAGGACACACAAAGCATGAGCACCAATGACACAAGCCCATCTGACATGTTAACATCAGACAACACAAACTTAAACAGGGGCTGGAGAGATGGCTCAGGGGTTAAAAGCACTGGCTGCTCTTCTAGACGACGGTTCAATTCTCAGCACCCACGTGACAGCTCACAACTGTCTGTGACTCCAGTTCCGGGATATCTGACATCCTCACACAGACATACATACAGGCAAAACACCAATACACAAAAAAATAAGGGCTACCATGTACATGTCCTTCATTTTGTTTCCCTGTACCCCATACATAACTCTCTCTCTTTCTCTCTCAGAAAACAAAACAAAAATCAAACATCTAACACTGAAACTGCATTCCTCCTACTAAGTGTAGGAGGTTGATATTTTCTCAAGTTAAAACAGAGTTACTATCTAGGATAAAAATATTCATTCATAAGAAAGACTGAAAAATTTACAAAGAGCTGGGCAGTAGTGATGCATGCCTTTAATCCCAGCATTCATGAAGCAAAGGCAGCTGGATCTCTGTGACTTTGAGGCTGCCCTGGTCTACTGAGCGAGTTCCAGGACAGCCAGGGCTACACAGAGAAACCCTGTCTTAAAAAACAAACAAACAAACAAGCCAACCAAAATAGGTTAAATCATCCTTACTAACACACAGGATGAAAAACGCTCCTGCCTTAATACGTCTTTCTCAGACATCTCACTGACTGATTACTGTTAAAGAGATTTAAACTGTAACCTACATGGATGAATGAACAATGCAACTCACCATCCACCAGCATATTTTAGAGTGAAAGGGAGACATAATTACACAGGCCAAAATGCATAAACTAGATTTCTTTAGAGAGAACAGAATGCTCCGTTAGGCAGGTGTCTTGGCACATGCCTTTGATCCCTGCACTTGGGAGGAAGAGGCAGGTGGGTCACTATGAGTTCAAGGCCAGTTGTGTCTACAGAGAACTCGACTCTCAGCCAGCTGGAGCTACATAGTAAGACCTTGTCTAAAGAAAATAATGCCTAACTTCAAAATCCTGTAATTCTAACTTGTTTCATTATTGTTTTCCCTAAAAACATTTTAAGTGATATTTGCATTTGCTAATGGAAACCTCTCTACATATATACCTAAGAAGTTCTTCCAAGTCAGTTTAGCTTTGGAAATGTCCTTTTCCCACTAAAGCATAAAGCTCTGGATTTCATTCTGAAATTAAGGGTTTAAGTCTGCAACTGATTGAGATTCACCCAAGTTCCAGGATCCAGCTTTTAAATTAGGTATCAGCTCAGGTAACGTGGAAATGTATTGCTTGTGGCTGTAGGGCTCTGACCCCCTCTTTCCGGCCCCTGCGGGAACCAGGCACACACAGGGTGCACATGCAGCCAAAACAGCTCATACCGTAAACCAATCCTAAAATACCATGCCAACAGCTCTTTTAATATATGAAAAGTCAAACACGGAACAATTTTTGCGATTAATTTTCTGTTCTAATTAGTACTCAAAAAAATCAATATGAAAGTGAATATAGATTAAACACTTTTTGTAAGTGTGGGCTGGGAATGTAGCTCAGTTGGTAGGGTGAATGAAGCCCTGAATTTGATCCCCAGCATCCAATAATCCAGCCACGAAGACTAATGGCTGTGATCCCAGTACTTAGAAGCTAAAGAGAATCAGAAGTTGAAGGTCACCTTTGGCTACATAGTAAGTTTGAAGACAGCCAAGGATAAATGAAAGCCCATCTTTTAAAAAAAAAAAAAATCACAAAATGAAAGTATAGAGAAAAAATTCCAAAGCAATGAAAAAAAAGTTAAAAATCTTCAAAGAATTATGAAAGTAGAGAAAAGGGTGCCCATATGTTAAGAACCCAAAGAATAACTTAATTTTTTTTTTTTTTGCCTCTACAAATATATTGTTATTCCAACAAACCAAAAGTATATGAGTGTGGTTAGTGAAACAAATATACACAGACCAAAAGTCAAAGATTGGTTACTGTTTTTAAAAAAACATTAGGTTTTTAAATTATTAACTTCAATTTATTCACTAGGATATATACTTAACCAGTGGTTTTAATATAACATGATGATTAAGAAATAACACAGAAAATGATTTCTTAAGCACAATAATTTTAAGTAAAGAAAATAAAGCAACCTTTTCTTGGAACAAATAGCCCAGTAGCTCCTGCTCTCTTACATCAAAATTTATCTAAAATAAACAAAAAAGAAAAAAGAAAAGAAAAAAAAGACCCATAATCACTTAATGTGTTAAGACTACTTGAATTACTAAATAACACTTACATACAACTTTAGATATTAGCATGTTAAAGTACATTTTTCCTGTCAAAATTTAAACACAGCCAGAACTTTGTTTATCAAGCAAAAGAAATATTTTCATTGTTTTAAAGTCAAGTGGCTCGTATTGATCTAACATTCTCTCTGGGGAAATAGGATCCCTGAGAACTGAAAAGAGAGCTGAGCAGCACATCACGTCACGTGCTTACTAGCTTAGTGCTGATCACAAGCCCTGAGAGCAGCCTCCAGTGTGGCTAGAGCTGAGCAAAGGATGGAAACCAAGCCTCCGTTTCACGCAGTTCCCCTCTCTTCTCACTACAGGCTTCTCTAACAATAACACAAAAACTCCAAAGACCGCATGTTCTCTCCACATGTGCAAGATGTTTTTACAAGTCAGTCTGAACGTCAGTAGTCATTACTAGAGGTGGAGAGGGAAAACAGGAAAAGGGATGGAGAGGAGGGAGGGAGGCTCAAGATCAACTAAGAACTCAAACACAGTCAAGGACAATAACACATGCTAGTAGTTTCAGCAAATCATGTGTAAATACATGAAGATCAAGAGTTCAGCCTCAGCTATACAGAACAAGATTGAGTATAGTCTGGGCTATATGGGACTTCAACTCAAAAAAAAAAAAAATCAGGAAAAAAACAATTCACCATCAATTAGAATGAATAAATTCTAGTGTTCACATCACAGTGAGAGGATTATAGTTCAAGGGTTCTAAGCAATAAGAAATAAAAAAAAATAAAGTCTAATTATTCCGACTGGATCAGTACATACTGTGTACATGTGTTAAAAATATGGAAATTACTACACGCCAATAAAAACTTTTAAATTAAGTATTTAAAAACCCACCCACCAACCACTTTATAATGTATCAGGAGTCAACCTAAGGAAGTTCACCTCCAGTTCTCTCCCTCCCGTGGTCTCACTAGATACTTAAATGCTTATTTATTTCACACTATGTTGAAAAGCACTTGAAATCAATAAAATGCAGATCTGAAGCTTGAAGCATTAAATTTGGAAATTAAGTATGGGATTATGAGAAAGAAACCCCTTAAATTAAAAAGGTGTGGCTAAAGCCAGGCATGGTGGTGAGTACCTTTAATGCCAGCACTCAGGAGGCAGAGATAGGGGGATTGCTGTGAGTTCGAGGCCAGCCTACAGACTGAATCCAGGATAGCCAAGGCTATGCAGAGAAACCCCCTGTCTTGGGGGGGGGGGGGGGGGGAGGAAATGTGGCTAGCACATGCCTATAATCCCAGCAATGAAAGGCTGAGGCAGGAGGACCAAGACAGTTCAAGGCTAGCCTAGTTATGTAGCAAGTTTCAGGATCGTCTCAGTGACACAGCAAGACCCTGTCCTATCAAATATAAAAGCCTCAATCCTAACATACTGAATTGTTTTAAAATATAAATGACATCTAAATGCAAGACACAGTACCTCAGTCAGAACTGGCACAGAAGCCAGCACAAACCTGAAGGCACAAACCTGAAGTCTTAACTATAGTATCAAAAGACAAAACACTCCCGACACAGTATCACTTACGTATATCCTATCTGTTAAAATGTACAATTCTACGAATGTATATCTCAGCCATGTATATCTTAAACATGTGAAAGCACTTTGGAATTTCCATGGACTGTTTGAAAGTATAATACAATTGAGTTACCTTGTCCAAAGCAAACTTAGTTTCTCCAACGGAAGATAAGGACAGCTTGTGAGATCCAACAAGGGTGAAGTTGCTGGTGCGCACAGCACTGAGACCTCCTGGACTGGCCAGAACTGTAGAGAAACAGGAAGCAGAGTTCCCTAGGTGTGGAAGTCTGAATGGAAATGGCCACATGGGGTTATATGCTCCAATGCTTAGTCCCCAGTTGCTAAAGCATTTGGGAACCATTACAAGTGTTGCCCAGCTGGAGTCCTCACTGGAGGCGTGTCACTAGGAGGGCTTTGAGCTTTCAAAAGCCCATGCCACACCCAGTCTCAATCTCTTCCCCTCTCTTTCCTTCCCCACCCTCTGCCTGCTGCCTGTGGATCACAGCAGAAAGCTCTCAGCTACTGCCTGTCTGGTTCCTGCCAGTCATGGACCCATCCTCTGAAACTGAAGCAAGCCCCCAAGTAAATGCTTTCTTTTCTGAGGAGTGCTTTGGTCACGGTGTCTCTTCATAGCAGCAGAACAGCAACTAAGACACCACCCAACATGCAGTGACTTCTCACCCTCCACATGAATGACCTCAAACGGCCACGACAATCCACCCCCCCATTGTCCTTTTTATCCCCTCTGTTTGGTTTTTGTCTTTGGAGACAGGGATTCATCCCTTCAGCCAGGCAGGCCTTCAACTCACCCAACAGCCCAGAATACCCTGGACAGCACAGCAACCCTCTTCTTCAGCCTTTCAAGCAGTGAGATCACAAGTACGAGGAACTGTGCTCAGTGTCCTCCAGTTTTACTTTGTATGTGTGTGTGTGTGTACACACGTGTGTACACGTGAACATGCATGAAGATCAAGAGGACAGATTGGCGAGTCACTTATATTCTGCCATCTTATGGGATCCAGGATCAAACGCAGAGCTTAAGGCCTAAATACAAAAGTCTCTACCTTGCTCAGCCACGTACCATCTCACTTCTACTTTAAATATGAAGGAAAGTAAAGTATTTTCTACATAGACTTTTTAAAGTAACACTTATTACTGCTGAGAATAGCATGTAGTCTGAGCAGCCTTGTTAGGCAGTGATATAAGCTAATTAAGTTGTTTTTTTTTTTTTTTTTTTTTTTTTTTTTAAGATTGTAGCCCTCTTCTGATTTCAAGCAACAAACACATCAGGCACAGACACAAGACACAGAAACACACACACAAAATACAAAACACATATGTTGGGGGTTAGTCTGATGCTTATATATTGATGTTAGTTATTGGTCCTCAAAATTTGGTTACTGCCTGGATACACCTATCCTTGTGTAAACCTGCCTAAGACATTATACCTGACTGGTTGATTAAACAATCTATACCTGGGCAGGGCAGAATGGGGTTTAAGTTCCCAGGCTTCAGGTTCAAGAGAACCATGGGAGAGAGATGGACAGGAAGAGAGGGGAAGAAACCACATGGCTGGGAGGAAGGACTCTGAGGATGATGTGGATGGAGAAAACACCAAGATGAAAATATAAGTAAGTATTTATAAGATTATGGATGGAAGGTAGTCCAGAGAAGGATGGTTAAGGTGGATGGCATTGGATAGGGACTGGGAGATGGATGGTGAGGTTATTGAGATAGTGTAGATAGAAATATCTGCCTGGCCCAAGGTAAATAAGGCGATTATAAAATATAGCAGGTGTTTGTGTCTTAAAATTTGTGATAGTAGGTTAAATAATATCACCACAATAATTATAAAGCTAATAATAATAATATAATAAACATTATATAGCCTAACACCTCATTTTTATTACAACACACATAAAAAAAGTTTTTTTGAAATCTTAAAAAATATTTTCCCAAAGCAAATCAGTACTGTGTATATAATGTGTATAAACCAAGCAAAGCAAATCAGCAAGGCATGTGTATCTATGTGTGTACAGATGAATATACTTATAAGGGCATGCAACAGATGAATTTAATCTCTCTACAGCTTCAAACAGTAAAGTTAAAAGAAGGACCACTCACCTGAAGAATGAAGGCTGCTTTTCTAAGAGAAAGGGGGAGAAGAAAACACATTATTTCTTTGATTTAAATTTAAAGTACAAACTTTTCACACTATAAGGACTACATTTGAGAAAGCATTTCTTCCCATATAAGTATCAATAACTAAAGTATCTTCATTTATTTTGATCAAGTCTTACTATGCAGTCCAGAGTGGACTTATAATCCCCCTGTTACTACCGCTCAAGCAGTGGGACTCACCAGTGCATTTTAAAGACTTTTATAGTATTAACAGTTTAAAGCTGGTCAGCCAATTTTTAGCTTTATTGAAGATGTAGATTCATCAAAAGAATTCAATTTTTAGAAAAATTCTACTTACTGAAGTTATAGACGTGAGGAGTCTCTTTGGAGTAATAGCCTGGAAAAGGAAAGAGCTTACCATATTTTCTAATAAATATTGTAATCCAGAACTTAAAACTTCCTCTCATAGAAAATAACTGCTGAACATAAACAGACCATATACAATCTCTTTACCAAGGCTTTTTAAATACTGCCATCCTATTTCCAAGTAGAGACAGATTTTTTTTTTTTTAAGTTTTCTTCCTTTCCACCCAACAACAAGTTAGAAGATTTAAAAACTGAGGCCAGCTAGGCATGGTGGCATATTCCCTTAATCCCAGCAATAGAGAGGCAGAGGCAGCAGATCTCTGAGTTCAAGGTCTATATAGTGAATTCCAGGACAGCCAAGACTACACAGAAACACTGTCTCAAAAACTGATTGGCCTGCTCTTTGATACCAGGCCACAGAGGAAGACAATGCAGCCAGTCCTGATGAGACCTAACAGACTAGGATCAGAAGGAAGAAAAAGAAACCCTCCCCTACCAGTGGACTTGGGGAAGGGCATGCATGGAGAAAGGAGAGGAAGGGAGGGGTTGGGAGGGGAGGAGGGAGGAAACTAGAGGGGGGATACAAAGTAAATAAAGTGTAATTAAAAATAAAATTAAAAAATTAAAAAAACAAAACAAAAAAAATAGGTTCAAGACTTCACCACAGTAAATAAAGTGATAAAGTTAAGGACAGGAATAAATGTTGTTTTTCTTTCATTGTCAAAAAAACAACACAACAAAACAAAAACAAAACACCTAGCAAGACTGTGGTGGTTTGAATAAAAATGGCCCCCACTGATTCATAGATCTGAATGCTTAGTCACCAGGGAGTGGCACTATTAGGAGGTGTGGCTTGTTGGAGTAGGTGTGGCTTTTCACTGGTGGGTGGGAGGATGGGCTTTGAAGGTTAAAATACTCAAGCCTATGCCAAGTGTTTCTCTCTCTTCCTGCTGCCTGCCCATCCAGATGTAGAACTCTCAGCTACCTCTCCAGCGCTGTGTCTGCCTACATGCCTCCATGTTTCCTGACATGATGATAATGGACAAAACCTCAACTGTAAGCCAGCCCCAATTAAACGTTTTCCTTTAAAAAAGTTGCTGTGGTCATGGTGTCTCTTCACAGCAATAGAAACCCTAATTAAGATGATAATCTAACTCTAGTGTTTTCACAGCCAGGCATGGTGACACATGCCTGTAATCACAGCGCTTGGGGAGGCAGAGGCAGGTGGATCTCTGTGAGTTTGAGGCTAGGCTGGTCTACAAAGTCAGTCTAGGAGAGCTAAGGCTATGTAGAGAAACCATGTCTCAAGATAGATAGACAGATAAGATAGATAAATAAATAAATAAATAAATAAATATAGTGTTTTTACTAGGTCTCTGTAAATTCTCACCTTGGATTTGGATGCTTTCTTCTTCTTATCCGGGCCTGAGGAATCTTTCTTTTGTACCTACACACAAATCCAAAATACAACTACCTTAAAATCTGTTATCAATAAGGAAATATATTATATTCATTTCAGAAAGCTTTAATTGCTTACCAAGCTGTACACTTCAACATTTATTTCAAAGTCATTGGAAACATCATGCCTGAAAAAGAAATATTAAATAAAACTAAAATAAAAACATAAAATTAGGGAGGAGATGAGGGTGGGAAGGTGGGATTAGGAGGGAATGAGGAAGGGTGCTACGGTTGGGACACAAAGTAAATAAACTGTAATTAATATAAAAAAATTTAGTGAAAAAAAATTAAAGTTATGCCCTTAAAAATAATGTACAAAAACTGTTTCAGAACTCAAAGTAAAAGGCTCCATTGTATTTTAAAGAAATACAAGAAAAACTGCCAATAATAAAAATATAGTAAAAGCATATATTTTTTCTTAAAATATAATTCAGAAATACTAGTGTGAAAACTCACAGTCTTTAATAATAATAATAATAATAAAGTAAGGCTGGTGAGGTAAAGGCGCTGGCCGCCAAGCCTATGTGAGTTCGTGAGCTCTATCCCAAGAACCACATGGTGGAAGAAGAGCGCTGACTTCCACAATTTATCCTATCTTCCGCATACATGTGCTGCTATATGCAGGCAATTTTAGAAATTTATAGAATAAGTAATCATAGTTAATGAAAGCAGAAATATTTTCTAAATTTTAGATATGACTGCAGTTTTAAAGTATGTACTTGATTCTAATTATCTTATTGCTCATACTAAGATATTGTTACCATTGATTAGCCACTTGCATTTGATCCCAGCACTTGGGAGGCAGAGGCAGAGGCAGGCAGATCTCTGTGAGTTTGAGGCCAGTCTGGTCTACACAGAGAAACTCGGTCTCAAAAAACCAAAGAGAAAAATAATTAAAACATAAAATTTTGTTATGTGATTTAAAGCATCTACACAAATGGTACAAAATATTGAAGCACTAAATATACTGTATATTTATAGTATAAAAAGGTATCAAGGAAGAAAAGAAACGAGAAGGAAGAGTTAAACTGGACAACTGAGAACTGGCCAGGAGGTGGTGGCTCAGCTGGTAACGGGGTTTGCCACATAAGCCTAGCAACCTGCGTTCATTACCTAGAACTCGCTTAAAGGCAGAAGGAGGAAACAGAGGCTACAGAGTTATCCTCTGGCTTCTACAAGAGCTTTTGACCACAAACCCACGCCCTTACATCATGCATGTATGTGCGCGCACACACGCACAATGATAAGAATCATAAATACTTTTTAAAGGTTTAATTCTTTGTATTTTATGTGTGTAGATGTCTTGTCTCCATGTATGTCTGTGTACCATGTGTATCCAGTGGCCGTGGAAGCTAGAAGAGGGCACTGGATCCTCTGAAACTAGAGTTACAGCTGGCTGTGAGCTGCCATGAGGATACTGGAAACGGAACCAGGTCCTCTGGAAGAACAGCCTGTGCTCTTAACCAGAGCCATTTCTCCAGCCCCTCATAAATAAATTTTAAAAAGAAAAAGAATAATTTGGGAGGGGTGCTTACAAGGGCTCGTCTCTTCCCGAGGAGACCCTGGCAGATGGCGGTTACAAGGAAGGGGAGACATGTCTTAGTGGGCACTCACTGTAAGCTGTCCATGCCACTGCAAAGAGCCCTTACCCAAGCTCCCGTAAGCAACCCTAGTTGAAACTCACTGGCTCACAAATAGAAGCACTTGCCTAGCACATGAGGTCCTAGGTTTGATTTCCAACACAACCAAACAGAAAGAAAGGACTACAGTAGAATGGAGACTGTCTAGGAGAAAAAAAGTGATCAGCAGGAGTGAGATGAGACAAAGAGAGGGTAGTGGGGAGTTAATATAATCAAAAACATATTATATACAGGTATGAAACTGTCATGTGATTCTGTATATGTTAATAAAATACTGCATTAATTATAAGATAGCAAACAATGTAAATGCATTTTAAACACTATAGAAGTCTGGGATGTAGCTTGCTGATAGAATGCTTATTTAGCATACACAAAGCCCTGAGTTCCATCCTGGGCATTACAGTGAAGAAACAAGATTATAAATGTCACTCAAAAGCTGTGCTGTCTTAAGTGTGTCTGAATCATGAGAAGCTCTTACAGAGTAAACGTAGTGGGAAATGCCAGCGCGTCCCCACTCAGAGAGTTTGCAGTACTTGCTAGCGGCGTGGCCACCATCTGCTCAGCTCCAGCCTTCAGCATAATTAGGTAGTAGTAATTTGATGCATCTGCAGTAACAATCACATTGTAAAATTAGCAAAGCAAAGTCACCCTTAGCTCAGCAGCACTGTGGAAGACCTGAGTCACACTGCGACTGAATCACATAAATTTATATTTACAATTTCTAAGACCTAATTTCCCAAAACAAAAAGCTAAGAGAGACACATCTGATAACACAGTCCTTGAATTAAGCGTCAAGGTCTCCCACTAACACAAAGCAAAATAACTTCATTCTGCACTCCTCACTTTCTGCTATGATCTCCTTGGCAGTAGTGAATGTATACCTCCACAGGTAAAGTGTGCTTTGCTATTTCAAATTTGAGATTTAAAAATCATTAAAGTAGGGCCCTGGAGGGATGTCTTAGAGGATAAGAGCACTAGGTGCTCTTCCCAAGGTCGGGAGTTCAATTCCCAGCAACCACATGGTGGCTCACACCACCTACAATGAGATTTGGTGCACTCTTCTGGCCTGCAGGCCTACATGCAGAAGAACACTGTAGATATATTAAATAAATTAATTTAAAAAAACATTAGTCAGGCAGTGATAGCATGCACCTTTAATCTCAGAACTCTGGAGACAGAGGTAGGCGGATCTTTATGAGTTCAAGCCCAGCCTGGTTTACAGAGTGAGTTCCAGGACAGCCAAAGCTACACAGGGAAACAGAGTCTCAAAACAACAATAAATTAAAATTACTCAGTACAATGTCTAATAAAAACATTTATTCACTATTTATCACTACGTACTATATCTCAAAATAAATACTAAATTACCAAGTTTTCCGAATTATACTAAAATCATGCAACAGCAAAAATCATAACCTAAATTAGCTCATTCCCACAAGAATACTCAAACTTTTTCTTCATTTTTTTTTGTTTAGAAACAAGAACTCATTCTGTAACGCAGGCTGGCCTTAAATTTGAGACAATATACTTTCGCAATTATCAAATTGCTGGCATTATAAACATGAGCCGCCCCATGCAGTGACTGTTCACAATGTTTTTCAAGTCCTAGCGACTGAATTCGGGGACTGATACACATGAGGCACGCTACCACTGCCGGGAGCCCTACCTCTAAGCAGTTCTGAATAACACAGGTGTCCCTAACTAGTTGTCTGGCCTGGAGCTTACAACCATCTACCCCAGCCACACAAGTAGCTGGGATCACAACCTACTTCAACCAGCTCCATCGAGGGCTCAAACATTTAAATGTCTGCTCTTATTTTTCCCAAACATAAAATTCCTCTCATTTATTTAAGAGTTCTTTAAGATAAAGTTCTAACCAAATAAAATTGAAAAAAAAAAAATCTTAAAACAATTCTCATCCAATGCTTCAGTTTTAATTTTATTGGGTTTTCTAGGAATTGTCTTCTTATATTCAGAGTCTGCTGCCATTCCTCTTTACCCACTTGAATCCCATATGATTTTTAGTAGATTAGACAATTTTAAAAGATTACCGATTAACCAATCTGGAATAGAAAATAATCTTAACAGAAGCATATTCACTGAGCAATCATTACTCTACAAACAGCAATTCACAATCGCCAAAGAAACTTCTATAATTGGTTGAATTTTAACTAGAATACCAAATGATCTGGCACATTTTTATAACAAAACTAATTAATGGCAGTCAAGTGGTATGTATGTGCTGTGAAAATAACCCAGCGTAAGAAAACGTTTTCTGTCATCCTGACGCTTAGCCTTACTGAGATAGTGATGGTCATACTTGCATGGGTTGGAAATGCTGTACGCACATTTCCCCTAACTTTCTATGTAAATACTTTGATATGACAAACGAAAACATAAGATGGAGATTGTTTATCATTATGCATGCTTTTCCTATATCCTTATCAAACAGTCCAGTCCAGATGAACTTGTGGATTAACCACATAATGCAGTCTCATACCTGGTTTCTGAGCAGGGCTGCAGACAAAATCTGCTTTCAGAGGCAAGCAGATGTCTGACAAAGTGACTGAGCCTTTAGATGGAACACATTCGCTCTGCACTATGGAAGCAGCCTTCTGTCGCCTCTGAGGGCCTTCCCCCTTCAGCTTGTTCAGTTCATCAATCAGAAGCACTCTCTTCTCAGCTGTGTGAACACATGCAAACATTAACACTGTGACTGTTTGAGTGGACCCTGAGAGGCAGCTGAGCAGAAGAACACAGACAAAATCAGTTTCTGTCTCTTTGATGGAACTGCTAGGGAAAATGTCATCTGTTAATCAGCTTTTAATCCGTTTTCTTATGTGGAGTCGCCTGCCACCTCAACACGCTCCATCTTCACACTCGCTGTGAGGCACAGACAGGAGTGTGCACGTGCGTGTGTGTAGGCCGCCACCGCCCAGGGGCTTCCCACATACTTGCAATCAGAAGGAGTCTTTCTGCTTCGGCTTCTTCTAGGGACCCTTTCCCATGCTCTTCATCAACACAGCAGTTCAGAGCCTGGCTGGCCTGATAGATCACTGTCTGCTGCAAATTTATGTCATTATTGAGCTCCTAGAGAAGCCACAGGAAGAAAAGTCCACATTTTAAATCACCATTAATACTTTTTTTAAACTTAATTCTAAGTAATCTGCATAATTTCCAAATTTTTTACAAAGCCAAGTCAAAATGTAAGTTTTACTGTACAAGTTTTTGGATCATGGATTCTTAAACTGTGGGTCATATAACTGTGAGTGCCACAAAAATAACAATACTAGGTTCTGAGCACACACAGTCAAGCATTATTTCAAGTCTTTAGCATCAGCACCAGGGAGGGAAGGCAGGCGGGTCTCTGTGAGTTTGAGGCCAGCCTGGTCTACAAAGTGAGTTCCAGGATAGCCAGGGCTACACAGAGAAACCTTGTCTGAAAACAAAAAACAAAAAACAACAACAACAAAAAATCAAAATCCAATTATGTGCTGAATCCTAGATGTTTCTGGTACTACTTATCCGTGTGCACCTTCATGGTGGCCAGACTTCTGAAAACAGCATGTACATCATACCATGTAACACCAATGAAGACAACCCACAGTGTGACACTACTGAACTGTAGGAGACACAGAGGCTTTTGTACATTCACTAGAAGAACCTAGAATGCTAAGCATACAGGGTTGTTCCTTCAAGGGAAAGAATGCAATGCCTGCTATCCACTCTGAAGGATGCAGAAGATGACCTTTCTAGCTTGGTGACGTTTTGTGCTATCATTTGACTAAGGACTTTCCCAGCATCGGACCCTCCCCCAGACCCATATCATAAATTTGTTTTTCTTAATCCATAGGACCCATCTTTATGGACTTTATAAATAGTTTTAATGTAGTCATGTCTGATCTATCCTGGGGGAGATTTATGCATGCTTTGTTGTGCATGTGAGATTGAGTTAATCATCACCAAAGCAGCTTTCACTAAACTGTGTTGTGCTTAAATACGCCTAAAATAAACCACTCCGGTCAGACTCCTGAAGTTTGCACCAACTTCGACTACTGAGTTGTGCTAACTTTAAATTATAGTGCATAGTTTTTTAAATTGCCATTGTGCTGACTTGAATTCCATATGAAATGTCATTCTGTGAGGGGCTAGGAAGATGGGTCAGTTGGCAAAGTGTTTGCAGCACAAACCTGGGCACCTGCATTCCGATGCCCCATTCCCATACAGAAAGCACCACCAAACAAGCAAAAATGTTTTCTTAGCAAAACCCCTTGAAAGCCACTGTAAGTTTCACACTTTACTGTCACCCAACTAATAGTGAGAACTATGTTTTGGCAGGAAGGAGGTGCTGGGGACTGAATCCAGGGCCTCCCACGCATGACGACCACTGTACTACAGAATTCCATATTCTACTCTGTAGTGATGACTTAGAGATATTTACACTGAAAATGTGTCACAAATAAACACCACAGCGACGTGAACAAGCTTCTAATTTTCTAAAGTGTGTTCCTCAAGTTAAACTGAATGTAGGCGTAGCTTAGCTCCCATGCATCAAATCGCACTCTAGTCACTTAGGGTTGGCATTAGCAGATGAGCCCACTGTACAGTTCAAGAAAGTCCCAAGCATCTTCCCGTGCCAGAGCATACCTGCATTTTCTGTTTGATATTGACTTGAGAAGAGAAGACATTATTCTTTTCACCCAATTTTGAAGTAACATCTTCTTTTCGAACAATCACTTGCTTTATGGAAGGGCGTTCTGTCTCTTTGAATCTCTGAGACCTATATGCATCAATGCTTTAGGAAAAACGTTATTGTTAGAATCCAGTGAGCAATACTCTACCAAACATGTCAATAGAAACTGAACTTCATACTTAAAACATCTGCACTACATTTCCCCCAAATGGAAGTGTCATTTGGTGAAAGGAAAACTGAGAGAAGCTATTCCAAATAGGACTGCAACTTGGAGCAGACTTCCTGCTTAGCATGCCTGAGGCCCTGAGTTCAATCCCCAAGTCCATAAAAAATTATCCAAAATCTACACAGAGAAGCTGTAAAATAGAGCTAAGTTGTGACATTCCTCAAGTCAATCTAAAGCAACACGGTGAGGGGACGCCTTCCACAAACATCCATACCTATAAAGAAGGTCACGGTCCTCAGAACTAAGGCTATCACCAGATTCAGCTCGAGGGACGCGGGTTCTCTGGAATTTCCCCGGCTTGGGACTTGCAGCACTTGCGCTAGTATCTCCCAATTCCAATTTAGGTGAAGAAATTACATTCTACAGAAAAGTAGAAAAGTAAATGAGATGTTAGACTTTTTTCAACTTTGTTTTCACATGTTTTGTTTCTACTTAAGAGACATGATCTCCGTTCTATCATCTCGGCTAGCTTCCAACTCCTGATCTTCCTGCCACAATTTCCTGAAACCTGGGGTTACAGACATGTCACCACACCCACGATTTACACCAGATGTTATGGATGAGCCACAGTGATCCTAAATAATACTTCTTTTAATTCTGAGAATGTAATTAATTATTTTGTGCTACTAAGAAATACATGTCTAACAAGTGTACAGATTTATAATAAAAACAACAAAATGGATTAAGCCCCTAAAAAGTAAATGAAGAAAACACAAAGCTAGACCCAACTTCAAAAGTTAAGCTAGGGGCTAGAGGGATGACTCAGTAGTTAGCGCAATGGCTGTTTTTCTAGAGGGCCAGGGTTCCATTCCTAGCTAGACTCACATGGTGGCTCACGACCATCACTAAGTCCAGTCCCTGAGGAGCCAGTGTCTGTGTGGCCTCTGCAGGCACTGCACACGCACGATGCACAGAGAAACACTCAGGCAAAACACCCAACACAGAAAATAAAAACAAAGGAAAAAACCTTTTTAGAGTTGAACAAAGTTTTGCCTCATGCACCATATTTACCTGACTTCTAGTTAACTCACTATCATGTATTCAAACATCTCAACAACAGCTTTCACAGGAAAAAATGCTTCCACCAGTAGCAGGATACAGAAAATGCTTTCAAGTTTGTTGAATCCTAAAGAACAGTTTTTTTCTACAAAATTAAACAAACTTATTTCTCAGTGGCAAAAAAAGTGCTAATTGTAACAGGTCCTACATTGACTAAGAAAGGCATACTTGACCTTGTTATAAAGACTTAAAATTCATAAATTGAATCTGCAATTCTTTTTATACTGACCTAACAGTAAATGCAAGGCTAGTCTGAGCCTGTCTCAAAAGAAAACCCCCCAAAACAAAAAACAAACAAACAAAAAAAAAACCTCACCAAAAAACAAAACAAACAAAAACAAACCAACAAAACCTTTTAAATAAAAGTATTTCTAATTGAAGCCATCTGTAGAGATATAGTTACTAAATTTAGAGTGATAGCAATTAACAAAGGTTAGGTTTCAGTGAATGTTACACTGGTCCAAAATATAATTATGATTTAATAGTTACACCAGCCCTAGAATGTAGGTGCTGTTGCTGATCTTGTTTAACAATTGGGAGAACCATGCCATAAAGAAGCTACAATTATAAAATGCTACAAACCAGGATTTGAGACCAAATGTCATGCTTGTTAAAATATGTTACTGTTTACCTAAAGTCATAGGAAGTCACTAGCATGGCATTCTAAGATAATCCACTGGCTAGAGTGCAGACTTGTATTAGCAGAAGTGGAGCAGGCTCGCAGTGTCGCCGCGCTTACTCTGTGGCAAGCCGGCAGTGTTTCCTTACCTCTAGACCTGCCACACCAACCGTCTGAGCTAACGGGGCAAGCAAGGACATTGAAGAGATGTTCAGTGCATCTTCCTGCTCTTCACTGTCTTCTGCTCCCACCTGCTCCATCTCCTCTGTGCTCTTTTCCACATCCAGTTCACCTTCCTCTAGGACATCACTAAAGATGTCATTAATGACTCTGGAGCTATTGATATCCTCATCATCCACACTCATCTCAATTTCACGCACTACTTCTGAAAAATAGTTCAGTCGGTAGACATCGTGATCCAAGGTGGTAGAGAAGACGTTTTCATGTTTACCAAAATATAGTAACCCTAAGAAAATTCACTTCCTAACAACAAGTAGAGAGGACAACTTCCAACATGTAGAAAATCAAAATAAAGCTGGACTCTCCTCATATTTCAAAAGTTCCAAAATATTTTTTAAGATAAAAAGACTACAAAAAACTAAACTTAATGCTTTGGATTTAAGTGAACATATTAAGCAGGAACAAGATTCTGACTTTCAAAAAGTACTTTATCAAGGATTGGAGAGATGGCTTTATGTTTAAAAGTTTGGACCATTCTTCAAATTTGGATCCGAGCATCCACAATGGGCAGCTCACAATGACCTGCAATTCCAGACTGAGGGATACACACTCTCTTCTGGCCTCTGGAGGAACCTACAGCTATGTGAACACACCCGTACACAGATATACACACAATTTAAAATTCAATCTCCCTGGACGGTGGTGGAGCATGCCTTTAATCCGCCCGCTGAGGCAGGCAGATCTCTCAGTTTGAGGTCAGCCTGGTCTACAGAGTGAGTTCCAGGACAGCCAAGGCTACACACCCTGTCTTAAAAAAATAAATAAATAAACAGACTAAAAAAAAACAAAACCCACTTTCAAACTAAGTCTCTTCTACTGTTAAGAACTACCCTTTTACAGAGCAGTCAGCATAGGAAAACAGGAAGACCGCTGGGTAATTTTCACAGAGTAAACTAACAATGACTACTAACAGTGCCACATCTTAATGGATATATATATTTAATATTTGTAGCTTGAAAAAAGGTATAAAATCATAGGACATTTAAAATTGGAGCATTATTCTTATATTCCTAAATTATTTCTTATAACATTTCTAGAGCTAATAAGAAATAAAGACTATAAACCAACCGGTCTTCTGTTCAGCCTTCGGGTCTGATGCTAACTTTAAGGACTTTTCCTCTTCCAAAAACAATGTTATTTTCAAAGGGCTGGACTTTGTCATTTCACTTTCTGTGGAACCTAAGAAAATGTTTGAAAGAAGAACCCAGTTAGTATGTGTGTGTGTGCACATGCTAGAAACAACCTGAAAATATAAAATTAGGGAGTCACAAATCTTTATTAGCAAGCCATGCCTTTATCTTAAAATATTCAAATCTAGAAATAGAGAACTACTATATCTGTGTTCTAACTTCCTGTTTTCCTCTGCACCAAGAAGAAAAAGGATACCAATATAATGTTATTTTTTTATTCAGACTGCTTTACAATGAGTTTTTCATCTTTAAAAAAATTGTCAACAAAGCTCACTAATTTAGTAAGAGGAGGTATGAAAAGCCCTTAGCTAATACACTGACAAAAGACTGAGAGCATTCTGCTAAGACTGGAAACATAAAGCATGCTTGCTCTCCCTACTGGATTTACAAACGTTTTAAAGTCATATCAAAAGCAACTAAAAACAACAAAAAGATTTAAAAGGTATCCAAATTAGAACAGAAATACAACTATTTCTTCTCACAGATGGCATCATCTAATATGTTGACAAGTGTGAAGAACTAATAGGCTTAGGAAATTCATCAAGGTTAAAGAAAATAACATCAACACATAAGTGAGGTGGTGTATACCTGAAATCCTAAAACTCACTACAGCAGGATTGCAGCAAATTCAAGGATAGCCTGGGCTACACAGTAAGTTCCAGGCAACAAGAGCTACAAGGCATAACACTGCCTGAAAGATACCAAAATGCATACATACATCTATACAAACAGTGAACAATCTGAAAAGAAATTTCAAAACCAATTCTATGGTAATAACACCAAAACGAAGACAGGACACCGCTTACTCGGCAGAGTGCCAGCCTCATGAGCCCTGCATAGAATCAGGGTGGTGGTGCATACTGTAATCCCAGCACTTGGAGAGTGGAGGAGAGGTCAGAAGACCAAGGGATCCCTGAATCCAGCCTGGGCTAGAACACTTGGAATAAACCCAACCAGGGAGAATGATTTGTATTTTAAAAACAACAAAATTCTGCTTAAGGGAAGTGAAGACACAAACAGGGGGGAAGCTTTGGTAAAATCCAGCATGCCAGACTATCTGGACACTCAGTACAATCTCTATCAAAAATCTCTTTCCAGGAAGAGACAGGCACCCACAAATTTAGAAAGAATGTATGTACCCCTGAATATTCAAACATCTCTGAAAGAGCACAGATACAGGATTCACATTTTCTGTTAAGACTTACTACACAGCTGCATTCAGCGCACTGGTACTTTCTCTGGCATGTGTGAGACCCTTGGTTTCAGCACCACAAAAAAGGAAGAAAAATTACAAAGGTACAGCCAACAGTACAGGATAGTACTGACATAAAGACAAAGATCAACGGAGTGCAGTGGAGAGCCCAGAATAAATCTTTACACAAATGATCAAGTAATAATAGATAGGGGAACTAAGATGACTCATACGAAAGAAAACAATCAGTTCAATAAATGATACTAGAAAAATTGGGTGCCCATATGCAAAGCACTGATGCTAGACTCCCATATATTTAACAATAGCTACAAAGACTAAAGTCTTAAATATAAGATTCAAAACTGTAAATCAGATTTTAAAAAAGAACAGGGGAAATTCATAATGATGAATTTTCATAATGTTTAGATTTTTCTTATATTTAAAACAAACAGAAGAAACAATAAAAAACAATAGAAACAGGAGACTACATCAAACTTAAAATTTTTTAACAGAAGAATATATTCAACATAGGGACAGACTGAAACCTGTGGAACAAGATAAGATTGTTATAAATCACGCACATGAAGAAGAGCTTACTGTCTAGAATATACAAACAAGTGCAACTCAACCCATAAAAACCGGACGACTGAGAAATGGAGAAATCAGGGTAGGGAGGGGAAGGTGGACAGCTCATTCCTAAGTGAAGCGCTCGCTGCCTTAGCAGGGGGACCTGAGTTTGACTGCAGAACCCACAAAAACGCCAGGGTGGCAGGGTTCACTTTCAATCCCAGCCCTGGAGAGAGACAGATCAGCCACCCAGCCTAGTCAGCGAGTGACAGGGCCCTGGTAAGACATTCTGTTTCAAACACAGGTGGACACTCCCAAAGATAATTCCCAAGACCCACGTGCACATACATGCTATGCACATGCACACAGGTATGTATATACACACACACACACACACACACACACACGAAGATCAGAACAGGCATGGTGGTACATATTTATATTTCCAACAAATGGCGGCAGTTGGCAGAAGGTCAGAAATTTGAAGTTATCCTAGGCTACAAAGTAAAATTCTGGGCCATCCGACCCTGCCTAGCAAGGTCCTGAATGTTTTCCCCAGATAAGGCGTGTGTGTGTGTGCGTGTGTACGTGTGCAGAAGTCATCTTTCCAAAGATGGAACACAAATGACCACAAAGAGTATGGAAATGTTCACCATCACTATTGAGAAACACAAATAGCACTATAGGATTTTATCTTACACTTAATAAGATGACTACTATCCAAAACAAAAACATCATCAGGGCTGGAGAGATGGCTCAGAGGTTAAGAGCACTGGCTGCTCTTCCAGAGGTCATGAGTTCAATTCCCAGCAACCACATGGTGGCTCACAACCATCTACAGTGAGATCTGGGGCCCTCTTCTAGAATGCAGGTATATACATAGTCAGAACATTGTATACATAATAAGTAACTTTTTAAAATCTAATATAAAAATTAAAAATCTAAAATTAAAAAAAAAACATTGACAAAACAACATTCAAAACCAAAAATATGCACTAATTCTACTTTCAGGCACTTCCAGAATGCAACAGGGACCTACACAACTGCACACAGCTGTCCTTTTCACAGCCACAGAAATAGAGAAAGTGTTCCAAGTGAGCCCAACAGAGAATAAGTAAGCAGTGTTCCACGTGCACACAAGTAGGCAGTGTCTAGCCTTGACAGATGAACACAGCAGTGGCCCTCCTTCACCCAGTTGCTTTCCACAGTTTCAGTTATCTGTTGTCAACCAAAAATAGGAAGTACAATCATATACACCACGCTGTAACAATTCTGCTCCTGTGTGGAAACACTGCAGGGCTGCAGGAAGAAACCTGAGTCCTTGGGGAATTCAGGTGCTAGTCACAAATGTAAGTGTCACCTGCATCCCTTAAGACAAAGATGCACTACTGCATGCTTCTAGTCATAGTTAAGACATAGTTAAGGAAGACAAATTCACAGCAACAAAGTAAAACAGGAGGACACAGGAAACAGAGTTTATGTTTAAAGACTACAGTTTTCATTTTGCAAGATGACAAAATTCTAGAGATCAATAAATGCACATACTTAACATTACTGAAATATGGGCCTAAGAGCAAATAAGTTGGTAAAATTGGGGTTTTTTTTTGGGGGGGGGGGGGGGGGGGGGGGAGGAGGGAGACAGAGTCTTACTATGAAGCTCAGGCTTACTTTAAAAATTAGCAGTCCATAGAGCACTGGGATAATAGGCATGTTCCGCTATGCCCAGTTAAAATTGGTACAGTTTATGTAATTTTTTTTACCACATATTATTAAAATAAAGATTTTCCAGGTGTAGTGGTGTACACCTTTAATTCTAGCACTCAGAAGGCAGAGGCAAGTGGATCTCTGTGAGTTCAAAGCCAGCCCAGACTTACAGAATAAGTTCCCGGACAGCAGGGGCTACACAGTGAAACCCTGTCCCAAGAAAGAAAAAAAGAAAAGAAAAGAAGAGAGAGAAGGAGGGAGAGAGAGAGCCAAGAGGTAGGAAAATAAAAACCTAAAAGTGTTTATGATAAACAAGGCATGGGGACTCACACCTCTAATTCCAATACTTGGAATACTGAGGAGGCAAGAGGATTAAAACTTCCGAGCTAGGCAGGCAGTGGAGCAAGCCTTTGATCCCATCCTTGGGAGGCAGAAGTAGGCAGGTCTCTGGATTCAGGGCCAGCCTGGACTACAGAGTGAGTTCTAGGAGGGCCAGGGCTACACAGAAAAACTCTTTCTCTAAAACCTAAAACCAAATCCTGGCCCCCAACCCTGCAAAAACAAAACAAACAAAAATCAAACTTCTAGGCTCATCTGGGTTACACAGTGAGATCCTGTCTCTAGAAAGAAAGAGGAGCAGGGAATGGGGGCTTAGGAGAGGGGAAAGGCTGACGAGAGGAAGAGAGCTCTGCTTCTCAGCTTTGGCCACCATGCCTCCTCTGCATGGCAGACTGTATGTCTCCAGAGCTCTAAGCCAGGACAAAGCCCCCTCTCTTTGGAGACAGGACAACACACTCCCCAGAGGGAGTTCTTCCTCTGGAAAGAACTCAATAAATGGTAGGAATGAAAAGCTGGGTGAAGAGGAAAACAGCCCTGCCCGCCTACCACACAGCAGCACTCCTCCTTGGAGCCACTTCCAGCCATCCGCGGCGGCACATAGCTACATCTGAGTAGCGTGGGAACACTAACCTGCAGGCTCTGTGCTAGAAATCTTCACTGCCGGTTGATTTTCAGCCACCTTGTCTGTTATAGAAGTCGACGGGGTGCTTGAACCAATTTGATGTTTCTTGAGGGGAGTGTTCTGACAGTGAACTTCCTGCAAAAAGCAGATGGAGAAATAAATTCTATCTCCCAGAATAAATCTTAACTATAGGTTATTATTATATTATTAAATAACATTCTATGTGTTTCTTGAGGATAAAGGAAATAATGTATATTAAAAGGGTCCAGGCCAGTGTTAACAATTTCCAGTGTGTAAGATTTCAACTTGGTAAAATCTTTAAAAGATTAGGAAAGCAAGAAGGAATGAAAATTCACAGTAGAGTTCAGTTTTATATAAACCACCTAAAGTAAAAGCCACACAAAACAATTTCCCCTGTCATTTTTCTCAGGCCTTCCCTAAACAATCTGGAGACAGCTGTGACATGAAGATTCTGTTGAATTGTCATTTACTCAAAGGACACTAAAAAAACAGTTCCATGGTGGTTTGAATGAGGATGGCTCATATATTTAAAAGCCTGGTCCCTAGCTGGTCTTGAGGAAGGATTAAGAGTATAGCCTCTGTTGGAGGTGTGTCACCGGTGGTAGCTTTGAGGTTTCAAAAACTCCCTCAAGCCCAAGCGCAGTCTTGTGGAGCAGATGTAAGCAAACCCCCAATTAAATGCTTCCTTCTACAAGTTGCCTTGGTCATGGCGTTTCTTCACAGCAGTAAAGCAGTGATTGAGACACCCTCCATCAGATTAGCCTACAGGCAAATCTGTGAGGCATTTTCTGGATTAATGACTGATGTGCAAGTGTCTAGCCCACTGTGGTTGGTGCCACTCATGAGTATTCCATACTCTCTGCATCAGTTCCTGCTTCCAATTTCTGCCCAGATTTTCCTTCATGATGTAAGCTCAAATAAATCCTTTCCTCCCAAATTGTTTTTAGTCAGGGCTTTATCACAACAGAGAAGTAAACTAGGACAGTAGAAAAAGCTAAATGGTCACCAATGAGAAATGTAGATTCTGAGAAGTATTTTAGAACCAGCATCTCAGGTGAGTATGAAGAAACTGATGACTGTAAGGTCAGTCATCAGTAAAAAGGCTGTAGAATGATGAAAATGGGCAAGTATCACACCTAAGGACCAATGAATGGAAAGAGTAGTTTCATCGGGAAAGGAAGGTGTTAAAAATTTATTTTGTAAAGCTGGGCTTGGTGACTCACACCTATAACCCAAGAACTTGGGAGGCCAACAAAAAGGGATTATGTCAGGTTTGTAGCCAGCCTAGGCTAGATTGAGAGACCTCGTCTTCTCCAAACCAAGAAACTCAAAACTAGCACTTTACATGGGTGACTTTTACACTTCCTTTCCACATTACCTGCTTGGTTTCTAGCTGTTTGCTTCTTGACTTTTCATCCTTTTCTGCACTCCATAAATTTCCCTTGTCAAATCGACCCCGAAGACATGAGAGTTCTTTTTCGCGTTCCTAAACACATTAAATAAGGCAGTAGTTTACTCAGAACCAACAGCACGGACATCTCTAGCACGCAGCTCTAACCCACTCTTGGGAGGAGATGCAGCAGGGTCACTTCACCCTCAGCTATGCAGCTAGTTTGCAATCAGCTTGGACCCAATGAGGCCTATCAAAAGACAGATTACAAACAAAACTCTCCTGTCTTCAGTTATAAAGATTCACAACACATGTGAAATGATACATTATTTCATTGTCCAATTTGCAATAAGAGGTACAGAGAATCAAGATGCTGTTTATTAACGCCAAGCATGGTAATCCCAATACATGGAAAGCTGAGGGAGAAGGACTTCTGAGAACACAGGGCTAGTCTGGGCAGCTTAGCGAGTTCCAAGGCGACCTAGGCTACAGGATGAGATATGACTTGTAACTCTCACATGTCCCCAAAAGGATTCTCTTTAGCTCATTCAAAAAGACTCATTTTTGAGCTGGAAGGATGGCTCAGTTGGTAAGAGCACTGGCTGCTCTTGCAGAGAACCCAGGCTCAGTTCCAAGAATACAACAGCAGCTTGCAACCATCTGTAACTCTAGTTCCAGAGGAGCTAATGCCCTCTTCTGGCCTCTGTGGGCACTGCATGTATGTGATACGTATATTTCCAGGTAAAACACCACACACATAAAATAAAAATAAATGCATCTTCTAAAAAGAGAAAGAGGCTCATCTTTATTCCTTGAGGCCATCTAATAAGTATTAAATGCAGACAACCTTACCTGTTTGAGCTGCTGTGCTAAATGGGTAGTAGATGAACATGTGTTTTGCTTGAATAATCGTTCCTGGATGGCCTTTGTATTTGGAGTGATATTAGGGGTTCTATGGGATGCTCTATAAGCTGGACTTTCTTTACTGTGTTCTTGACAACGTTCTCCAAAGCGTTCCAGGAAAGGCTTAATTCCTCTTCCTCCTATAGAAAACAAAGTTTTGAAATGTATTCAAAATAACTAGGCATTATCATTTCCAAGGAAAAAATCTAAATCCACTAGTTACAAAATGCTTTGTTTCTAGGAACAACCATTCACAAAAAATGTTTAAATTGTTCAAAGAGTCTATACAATACACTTCCTAAATTCTTAAAATTTATTTTAATTATGTATATAGATGTGCCTGTGAATACAGGTACCCACACAGGCCAGGTGTCAATTCCCTTGGAGCTGGAGTTACAGGCAGCTGTGAGCTGACTAACATGGTACTGAGAATAGAACCTAGGTCCTCTGAAAGAGTATGGTCTTAAATGGGTCTTTAGCCCCAACGTCCTAAAATTTACCGGATTTAGTTAAAAACAAAGCAAAACAAAAAGAGACCAGCAAGCCAGCTGAGTAGGTAAAAGAGCTTCAAAGCCCTGATAACCTGCACCGATCCCCAGAACCCCTAAAAAGTGCTGGCCTTAGTGGCTTACATCTGTAATCCAAACTCATACTCATACTGTATGGTCAAATGGGAGGAGGAAGCAGAATTTCCTGGAAACTCAACAGCACAGGGGAAAAATAACAAGAGACCCTGCCTCAAAAAAAGACAATAGAAAGTAACTCCAGACAGCTGTCCTCTGAACTCTATGAATGTGTGCACATAAATTATTTTTTCCCTTTTACAAATTCTGAGATATGATATGCACCTCATCAAAAGGATGTCTTGATTTTATACAGTCTTAAAGAATGCTATATGAAACAGTATAAAGTACTTTGTAGTTGGGCAAATGTGATATATATATCGAGAAACATGTATACACGCACAGCCACCAAAAGGCTGTATTATTTAAAATAGGACTGCTATATCAGAGGCTGGCAACACTTTCCTTCGATGGACAAGACAGTAAGTACTTGGGGTTGTGTGGGCTATATGGTGTCTTCACGGCTCTTCTACTCTGCATTAGAGACTGAAAGGAGCCACCGGAAATACAAGCATGATTTGGAGTGAAGAGGCAAAGAAAAAGCAAGCAGCAGAATTCAATATATGGCCATAGTCTGGGGCCTCCATATGCCATTTATTCCCACTTCAGGTCATGCATCGAACTAGAGTTCAACACTAACATCTACACTGAGTATTTCTGAGGGGCTGGTAATCTAATTCTGACTTACCTACTAATAAAGAATAATACAAAGCATGTTTCATACCTAAATCTTTAGTCTTTAGAAACATAGGAAAAAAGAGCTAGTCTGTTGGGCAAAAGGGTGGGTCAGCAATTAAGAGCACTTGTTCCTCTTGCAGGGGACCTGGGTTCAATACATAGCACCCACATGAGGGTGCACAACCACCCATAACTCTAGCTCCTGGGGATCGGAAGCCCTCTTTTGACTGTGTTGGTCATCAGGCACGCAGGTGGTACACATATATATTCAGGCAAAACAATACACACATAGCATAAAATCAATAAATCTTAAAAAACAATGTTAAAGAACCAGTCTGATTCCATAAGGACCTTGTAATCATTCTTTTTTGGCTTTGTTGTCACTGTTGTCCTCACCCCACCTCCAGCCTGAAGTGATAGATTGGACCTAGGGCCTTGCATGCTAGGCAAGTGCTCTACCACTGAGCTCTAACCGGTTTCCAATCCTCATCTGAGAGCGTCTAGAAACTGAGTGTGGCTTCTACTTCCTCGTCTCCACTTACAACATATGAACTATAATCTCTAGAAAAGACTGTGTTTCCCGGAAGTTAAACACAGGCTGGGGCTAGAGCACTGGATAGAGTATATGTATGAAGCGTATGACACCCCTAGGTTTAAACACTGTATAAACTGGGATTGGTGGGGCATGTCTGTAATCGCAGCACTGGGGAACCGGAGGTAGGAAGATCTAAAGTCCAAGGTCATCCTTAGCCACAGAGTAAGCTCAGGGGAAGCCTGTTCAAAAAAGGAGATACACTAAATTAAAAGGGGGAGGGGCAAGAAGGGAGATGGCGAAGTGGGTAAGAGCATTTGTTCTGCAAGTGTAAGGACCTGAGTTTGAATCCCTGGGACTCATGCATAAAACCAGGTGTGATTGCATGTGCTTGAAACCCTAGCCTTAGAAGGGAAAAACATATGGCTCCCAGGCACTCACTGGCTAGCTGGTCTAGCCAAATGGAATTTGAAGTTCAAAGAGATCTTCAAGAGAACAAGACAAAGAGGAAGACAAACAACAGTCCCCTCCTGCTTTCACATGTAGATATAGGCACACTCGCGTATATGCTCTGATGTATGTATGCATCACTTTCTCTCTCTCTCTCTCTCTCTCTCTCACACACACACACACACACACAGGAAACATAGCTCACAATAAATTCTGTTACCAGGTATTCTTGCTAACTTTTTTAGTACTGTGTTTCTCAGTCAATAATATATGGAGCACACCAGAAGATAAATTCACATATCACATGTAAATATGATGGAAGCGCAGCACTCTATACGCATATCACCTCTCTGCTGCTGGTGTGGGGCAGAGACAAGTGCAGCCCGGGAGCCCGATGGCCCATCTCAGCCAAGGTGAAATCAGCTTACTCCAGTCAGCGTAAAGACTGGAAAGAGTGCTCCACCTACCTAGTTAGAAGACTGGATCTCCACCACTCCCCAACAGGCAGTTTCTAACTGTATGTGCTTTTTATATATCAAAAAACAGAAAAAAATAGGTAGCCTGATGATAAACACCTAATCCTGGGAGCCTCCTGGAGACCGTGGGCACTACAAGATTGAGATACATATGAAGGAGACTTTGATTCAAAAAAACAGAAAACAACAAATTAACATAAGATAAAATGTTGAAAACAAATGTCTTGAATCTATTCAACAGTTTCATGTACGTAACCTGGTGTTGCAGGTTTGTCCTTGGGTTGGGACTGCAGACAAACTTCTCTGTTAGCTGCTTCTTTGGGCTTAACCGCCTGGGATAAAGTGGGCTTCTCACTAGGTTTCGGTGCCTCTGTTTTCAGAGGACTAACAGTTTTGTGAAGTAGCTCAGGATTTTGCGCATCACGGTTTTTAGTACTGGTGATGAATGCAGCAGATTTCACAGGGGAAGATGTCGCTTTCTGAAACATGACAACATAGAAGGGTAAACAGTAATTATCATCATAGCATAGATGCCACAAAACAATTTAAGTTCCATTTCCTTGGTAGCCATTATACAAAAATTACCAAAAATATTATTTCTTTTACTTTCTAACATATCATGCTAAGTTGAATGGCTTTAAAAATATCAACTTCTAAATGCTGTCATTTAAATTAACAGGAAATTTAGTCTCATAATATATTGATAACTAATTGCTATCAGGGGTAGGGTCACTCCTAGTTTTATAAAAAACAATTCTCAAATTATTGGGCTAGTATTTTATTAAATTATATAATTATTTTTATTTGTATTTTTAAGTAAGTTAATATCAGTTCAATAAGATACGAGTTGAGTATTCCTTAATCAAAGTACTTGGTATAGAAGTGTTTCAGACTTTGGAAATACAGTGAGGTATCATTGGGATGGGATCCAAGTTTTGAACTCAGTTTTCTTTTTAATTTAAAAAAAAAGATTTATTTATTTATTATGTATACAATGTTCTGTCTGCATGTACACCTGCGTGCCAGAAGAGGGCACCAGATCTCATTATAGATGGTTGTGAGACCCCCATGTGGTTACTGGGAATTGAACTCAGGACTTCTGGTAGAGCAGTCAATGTTTGTAACCTCTGAGCCATCTCTCCCGCCCCAGGACCCAAGTTTAAACATAAAATTCTATTCCGTTTTACATACAACTTAGACACTGCCTTAAAGCAATTTTGGATTCTCTTTAAAAAAAATTTAATCTTGTGCATGCTTTGGCAGCACATATACTAAAATTTATCAGAAGATAAATAGAGCATTTTATGGAACATCAGCTTATTACTAGAAGAAATAGAAACCTTTATGTATATACACAACGTACACCTATATGTAAATATGATGGAAGCACAGAGCTCTATATGTATACCACCTCTCTCTGCTGCTGGTGTGGGGCAGAGACAAGTGCAGCCCAGGAGCCCGATGGCCCATCTCAGCCAAGGTGAAATCAGCTTACTCCATTCAGCGTAAAGACTGGAAAGAGTGCTCCACCTACCTAGTTAGAAGACTGGATCTCCACCACTCCCTAACAGGCAGTTTCTAACACATTTCTAATATAGAGATGATTAGCACGGCCCCTGTGCGAGGATGACACGCAAATTCGTGAAGCATACCATGTTTTTTGATTGGTATGGATATGCATACGTTACTTGAAGTTCCAAGCTTCTTCATGTTCCCATTAGTTAGCATTTAGCACTTTATCTTGAAGTACTGCCTTCTAAGAGATTGTCTAGAGATGCTAAATAATGTAACAGCAATGAGATTTCTTTCTTAGAAGCACGCTGTATGTGTATGTGTAATGCGATTATGGGTTCTGAGGCTGTGACAGGTGTGTGGAGACTGGATAACCACTTTGTGAGGGTTATTTTAGCCATCTTTATATGGTCAAGGTCATGTTGCCAGCTCCGCATACCACAGACATTTCTCACTGAGCTGTCTCATTCATACTGAAATAAAATTAGTTGAAATAAAAAAAAAAAATCTCAGGGGCTGGAGAGATGGCTCATTAGATAAGAGCACAGGCTGCTCTTCCAGGACCTGGGTTCAATTCCTAGCACCCACATAGCAGCTCACAACTGTCTGTAACTTCTGTTCCAGGGGTCACGAAGACATACAAGTCAAAACAACAATGTACATAAAATAAATTAATTTAAAAAATAAGTAATTTCGTGCAACAAGAGTGAGCTTACAGCTCAGTGACACAGTATTTGCCTAGCAAGCAGGAAGCCTTGGGTTCAATTCCCAGTGCCACAAATAATGTAACACATGAAGCAAAGCTCCTTGTGGAAAATTCCACTTGTACCATCACAGGTGAGCACGCACAAGGCTTCATTCAGATTTTGAAGCCTTTCAGATTAATGCTCAATGCTCAATCACCCTAAGTATCATGGACTTGAAAGATGATTATTAAGACTATGTCAGGAACTATGGTATTTTTTTAAAGAATTATTTATTTATTTTACATATATGAGAGTTCTGTCTTCGTGTACACCTGCATGTCAGAAGAGGGCATCAGACCACAGTATAGATGGTTATGAGCCACCATGTGGTTGCTGGGAATTGAACTCAGGACATCCAGAAGAGCAGACAGCGCTCTTAACTGCTGAGCCATCTCTCCAGTCCTATGCTAAGTATTTTATGCATATTAGCTTATCTTTCTAATAACCCAATTCCCTGATTTTACATATGGAAAAACAAGCCTTTACAAAGTAAAGTAACTTGTACAAAGTCACATTTCTCACTGTTTCAGAACTGGGATTTATTTAAGCAGTTCTAACTCCAAAGCTCCTGTCTGCACTTACAGGCAGTTTTCAGAAACACACTGATATTCTTTTCCTTTTTAAAAAACTAAGGTAATAGTACAGACATTACTACATACATAAAGTAAAAGCTTCAAACACTTCAAAGGTTATACAGTGAAAGTGTTAACCCTGACCTTCCTGCTTGTCAGAGTACCTTCCTTGGCGCAACCACAGATAAAGGTTTACACTATCTCTCTGGAAATAGTCAGTGTCTTATAGTTATAGATATCGTAAAGATATTATAATTAAGGATTAATTTTTAAAACAGCGTTTCTGTCATGGACTTGCTTTATAGACTAGGTTAGCCTCGAACTCAGATCAATCCGTCTGCCTCTGCCTCCCTGAGTGCTGGGATTTCAGGCATGCACCACAATGTCCGGCTTACTCTAGATTTTTTAAAAAATTTAATTATGTTAAAATTAATATTATTTCAGTCACAAAATGTTAATTACCTTAGATAAATTATCAAACTTATAGTTGTCCCTTTTTATGAAACACATAAATATGGTGTACATAATACTACACAATACACAGCTACATATAGAGACTACATATAGTTATTACCAAGTTTCAAAAGACCAAAATGGTATTAACTCACCACGGAGCTGGCCACTGAGGCTTTAAGCGATGACCCGTCGTCAGCACTCGAAGATGGGGCTTTACTGACAGCAGCATTGCCGTCCCTTTGGGAACAGCATGTAGCTTCCTGCTGAACACTGCTACTATTGATGCTAGCAGATGTTCCGCTTGCAGAGGAAGATTTGGATAAACAAGCAGTACCAGGCTGCTCTTGTACACTATTTTGCTTTGCAGATGAGTGGCTGACATCATCTTCCCAGGAGCAAATCGTAGCAGCAAGGTTAGCCAGACGGCCCCTTCTCCCAACTGGGGTAGCTGAGGCATTTGAAAGGGGTGGCTTGGAAGGTGAGGTAGCCTTTTCCTTAGATGGCATTGGTGAGAAGTGTGAGCTTTCTGATACATCATCTGAAAATATTTTCAGAAAAAACAAAATCCATACAAAATTTCATATTTTGAAACTTTTTTTTTCATACAGGGTTTCTCTGTGTAGCTTTGGTCGTCCTGAACTCGCTTTTTAGACCAGAGTGTCCTAGAGAGATTTGCCTGACTCTGCCTTTCGGATCCCAGCACCACATAACAAGCTGGGCACCCTGAAACACCCTGAAGCTCCAGTTCCACACAGGCACAGATGCGCACCTGCACACACACACACTCAAGCAGACACACACAGGCAAACCTACATACTAAACAAGTGTAGGGCTGCAGAGATGGCTCACGGTGGGAAGTACTTGTTACTCTCCCAGAAAACCAGGGTTCGGGACCCAGCACCCACTCGGCAGCTTGCAACAGTCCTTAACTCTAGTCCCAGGGGATCTGACACCCTCTTCTGGGCTCCAGCAACGCCAGCAATACATGTGATATGCATACTTACATGTAGGCAAAACTAATACACAACGCAGTCTATCAGATGATTCAGATTGCTTCATTTAGTTCTTGTTATGCATCCAAGTTAAATTATAATATAGAGACTAAAGCACACCTTGGGTTCCCCATACTTTTGAAATGCTAATCCAAAAATTTCCCTATCTACATTTCCTCTGCACTTCGGTTCCTTTTTAAATATGATATGGGTATTTCAGGAAGCCATTTCAAGGTTTTTACCAAACAAGTTAGAAGATCAATAAAATTAGTTGTGGTAAAATAACCCTGGTACATAACCACAAAATTGCTTGCATATGACGTGGTCATTTTCCTGTGTCCAGAACTGTAGCAGAACATGTTTTCCAGTTCAATGTACTGGGGTGGGGAGTATTTTGTCTTGGCATCTTTCCCTACTAAACAGCACTACACACCATAGTGTCTTTACTTGATAAATGAACATATGAAATAGGATTTCCCGAGTATAGAGCTGAGGCTCAGTGCTTTTTCACTGCAAACAGGAAATAATTCAGTTATTAGGTGAAGTTTCTGTACTAGTTAAAGAACATCATCTACTTGATTAAGAATGAATCATTCTCATTCATTGTTTATTGTTTGTTTGTTTTGCTTTTGTTTTTCAAGACAGGGTTTCTCTATGTAGCCTTGGCTGTCCTGGACTTTGTAAACCAGGCTGCCTTAAACTCACAGAGATGCACCTGCCTCTGTCCCCCGGAGTGCTGGGATTACAGGCCTGAGCCACTACACTCAGCTCATTCATTGTTTTTATGGATATACTTCTGGTATATTAATCATCTTCAAGCAAAAGCACTTATCTTGCTTGCATGCTACTCCAGGCAGGCCTTAAACTTATAATCCTCCTGCATCAGCATCCCAGATGCTGGGATTGCAGACATATAATACCATATCCAGCTCCACGAAGAATCTTACCAAAAGAAAATCAGGGACCACCCCACCCACATCATTTATACCTGCTATGTCGCTATCCCAATGGCGGCGCTGCTCTGCAAGTTTTTGCATGCGGGTTTTAACTGAGGCAGTGGATGCTTCTGATCTTGAGTTCAGCCCTCTGCCCATGCTGGGCAGCGAGGCTGGGGCCGCCGCTGAATCACTGCCGGCAGCTGGAGCTGGGGGCTGCACCTGACGGGGTGCAGGCTTTGGAGAACATGGTTTTGCAGCAGTTGACTCAACAGGTTCTTTATTTTCTAGGTCCGAAGCCTCCACTTCAGTTTTGCCAGAACAACGTTTTTTTGATGGTGATGGTTTTGTACAAGATTTCTCTAGATCAATAAGAACAACGAAAGCCCACAGTGATACCTCTGCAGTTTTCACAGCCTGAAGAACTAGAGGTGGGTACTTAAAAATAAGGTATCAAGTTTCTCTAATACTTTAGCTACTTTTATTACAAGAAAAATACACAACCCTTTCTTCCATTAACTTTGAAATATGACAGGAAAACCTTTTTTTAGGCAAACGTCATTTTTCTGTTAAAAACTTCAATGAAAATAAATTTAAATATGTTCAAGATGTAGAAGATTTTATGTAATTTTAAGACAACAGGAAATAAACAGCAGACACACAAGAATAACCAAGTACTCAAAAAATTTTAAAGATCTCAGAATTCAATCACCTCATTTTAAGGAAGAAAAGTCAAGCCTAGAGAAATTAAGTTGTAGAAAACAGGTTTTATAGACTGGTTTTTGTTTTGTCTTTGAAACCACCTTTCATGGACAATAACTGAAATAGAGCAGAAGATCTTGTGCCTTATGTGAGGCTTGGGAGAGAAGCAGGCTCTGAAGACAACTGAGCTGTCTCAGCTAAACCAAATGGAATCAGCTCTCACGCTGTAATGTCAATGAACATCAATAGAGTCAGTGCTAAGGGCACCCTACAAAGTAAGGCTTCTACCCACCAATGAGTCTCAGGGTCTCCTGAAGTGAGAGTGTATATGTGTGCATGCATGCTCTCCTGCGTGAGGGAGCATGTGCGCAGGTGCATGCGCACATGAAGTCAGAGGTTGAGTGGGTGTCCTCTATGCACTCCACCCTGTCATCTTGTACACTGAAGCAGGGTCTCTCGAACCCAGAGCTCATCAGTTCTGCTAGCCTAGATCTCAGCTTGTTGTGGCCCTGTGTCTTCCTGTGTCCTCGCCAAGGCCCAGCATTTCCATGGGAGCTCGGAATCCAAACTCCAGCCCTTACACCTGTGCATCAGAACTTTACCCACTGACCCATCTCCTCAGCTCAGAAAGTTAATAATTTAAATAAGAATGAAAGGTCACTCAGATGGGTGAGTAAACATGCTTATTGCTCATTCCTGGAAACCTGAGTTTGAGCCCCAAAACTCACATGGAAATGAAAATAGAAAACCAATTCTATATAGAGTTGTCCTATGACCTACACGCATGCCCATACAACACTTGCCCAAACATACAATCTCTTCTTTTAAACAAAGAAAAAAGTAGGAGGTGCCCACTGGAAAGATGGCTCAACAGATAAGAGCACTGTGCTCTTCCAGAGGACCTAGAACACACATGGCGGCCAGCTGTATACAACTCCAGTTCCAGGGGATTCAATGCCCTTTCAGCCTCCATAAACACTCCATGCATGTGCTGCACAGACTTGCATGAGGTAAAACACCCATACACATAAAATAAAGAAAAATAAATCTCAAAAAAAAGTTTAAAATGTTTTAAAAGAACGTGAATTTCATAGGAAGTCAGTTTCCCTGGCCATCTAACCAAGTTCTCTGCCTGGCTTCTGGTAGATATGAGGCCTGATGTAACAACCTTGAAATATAACAGAAGGCTGCTCTTGCCCAAGAGGCTATTGCATTTGTCTCCCAAAGACCAGTTTTTCTTCATACATGATGAAGCCTATGTACGTAATGGGGCTTATGTACTCCAGAATCCATTCCAGTTTTACTTTTCCCCCCGCATCTTTTACCTTCGCCCCCAGGTAGCGGCTGCTGATTACTCGCTTCTGAAAGTGGCTCTCTGCCTCGCTTCGCATGCGCTGACCTTGCTGCCGCCACAGGCCTCTCCGCCATTTTTCTCTGGAGATTCTCTCGTCTGGCACGGGTTCGTTCTAGCAACTTCTACAGAGTATCATGGGTAAAACACAAGGTTAGTCGAAGGTTCAGAAAACCCTGGATGCTTTCTAAAATCAACAACTGTTATGTAGGATTATAGTCAAACACATTTCAAAGGTAAAATCCCAAGTAATTGAACCAAGATTTACCAAATGAACAAGCACCTGAGCATCAAAATTACTACAATCAACAGAAATACTAACAAGCAGCATATACATCACTTATGTAAGATTATAAATGCTGTGTGCTTGCTGTTCCAATCAAAAGGTATAATCAGGGACTAGGGTGAGAGCTTGGTCAGACACCCAGGACCCTGATAAAGCCAAGCATGGAGGACAGGGACAGGGGCATTCCTGGAAGTCACTGGTTGGCCAGTCTAGCCAACCAGTGAGTCACGTTGGGTGGAAAATCCCGACTCAAACCCTAAGGTGGAGAAAGACTAAGGAAGATGTGTGACATCAACCCCTTGCCTCCAGTGCACACGCATACACGCTGTACACACAGCCATGAAAACACACACAAAGCTAATCTGCATCACCACCTGAATCTGGCTGGCTGACTGGCCTGGCCTTATGATTCGCTTTCACTTGTCTGAAATAAAATATGGCTGAAATAATATGCTATATGATTTTCAATGCTAGGTCCCAAAAAGTCTCACTGTTTCCGCACTCTTTCTTGGACTGGCACATCACGTGAGAAGCCCAGGTCTGACACGCTGGAGAAACAACTCCAGCCAGCATTATGGCACTTAGCTCCAGAAAATTTGTCATAACACTAAGAACTACATGACTAGACCCAGAACCAATAGACGGCCAGCCCAGCTGAGCCCAACATGAACTTCTGCTCACTGAAAAACAGTGGTTGTGGGTGCGGAGGAACAGGGAGAGTGTGGTGAGCCTGCTAGTCGGCTAGAGCATATGCTGCAAAGATTCACACTAGAATTTAATCCCTGGAACCCACATGGACGAAGACTGTTTTCTGAGATTCACATGGATTCACGGCTGTGCCTGATAGACGTGCACTACCAGCCATACTGAGAAGTAGGGAAATGTAAGTTTGTGTTTGCATGCAAATATGCATACATGCACCTAACTGCTTACGGAGGCCAGAGAGGATGTCAGATCCTCTGCAGCTGGAGTTACAGAAGGTTGTGAGCTGCTCATTGTGGGTGCTAGAAACAGAAATCCAGTCCTCTGGAAAAACAACTGTCTTTAACCACTGAACCATCTACAGCACCAGGAAAAAAATTTTAATTTAAAAAAAAAAAAAAAAAAATATATATATATATGTGTGTGTGTGTGTGTGTGTGTGTGTGTGTGTGTGTGTGTGTGTATGCCTGCATGTATATGAACAGCATGGATGCCTGTGTCAGAGAGGACAACAGACTCCTGCTACGAATTCCCATATGGGTACTGGGAACTGAACCCAAGTCCTCTTCAAGAGCAACATGTGTTCTTCCTACTGAGCCATCTCTCCAGGCTCCTCCATTTTTTTTTCTTTTTTTTAAATTATTTTTATTTTTTATTTTTGGTGATTTATTTTATTTTATTTTTATTAATTACACTTTATTCACTTTGTATCCCCCCCAATAAGCCCCTCTCTCCTTCCCTCCCAGTCCCACCTTCGCTTCCCCTTCTTCACACATGCCCCTCCCCAGACTCCTCCATTAAAAAAAAAAATGTAACATAAAGTAATTGTTGTTCCTGTCAGTATGCTAGGCAGAAAAATGATTCCTCAAACCCAGTGCAGTGGCTGCGCCTGTGATCCCAGCATGGGGGGGGGGGGGGGCAGAGGCAGGTGGATCTCTGTAAGTGTGAGGCCAGCCTGGTCTACAGAGTGAGTTCCAGGACAGCCAGGACTACATAGAGAAACCCTGTCTCGAAAAACAAAGCAACAAAATGGTCCCTCAAAAATGCTGTGCTCTATATCTTTGACCTACAAATTTTGGTAATGTGATTAGGAATCTTGGCATGTAAACATTATCCTGTGTTATCTGAGTGGACCCAAGAAAATCACAATGGTTCTTAGGTACCAACGGGGAAAAGGTAGGAAGACAGATCAGTCAAGAAAGATGATGACGAAAGCAGATGTCAGAATGATAACAACTGAAGCTCTGAAAATGGTCAAAGGTGCCAGAAGCCAAGGCATGCAAAAAGGATCTAGAAGCTAGGAAAACCTAGGAAACAGACTTTCTCCTAGGGCTTCACAGAAGGAATGAAGTCTTACCCACACTTTGTGACTTGATAAACCCATTTCAAACCTACGACCTACAGAACTGAAAACATTAAGTCTTTACATCACTACTTTTTCATTTGTTTGTCTTTGAAGACAGGGTCTCTGTGTAGCCCTGGATTTCCTGGAATTCATCATGTAGACTAGGCTGGCCTCTAACCTGCCTGGGATTGAAGGTGTGCGACACAATGCCAGCTTAAGACCCTAAATTTACAATAACCTGTTACAGCTTCCAACTAATATACTCAGATCTAAAGTTGTGACAAGCAGGAAAAAATAACTAGTCTTTTATAACACACTTCCCAAGGAGAAAGATGCTAAATATTCTTATGTTTATTAAATAAATACAAAAATATAATAAAATAGCTGTAAGTTCAAATCTTAGCCACTGGATAAAATCATGACTACTCCTTTTTTCTCACTGTGACTCAATAGACATTCCTATTTGAATCAATGTGTTATAAAAACAATTTATTCTCCCTCAAATGTATACTATTAAAGAACACAGATAATCATTTACCTGTACATAGAGAGCAGTGATTCATACAGACTTGAGGACTCAGCTACATTTGACCTGAGTGGAAAGTCAGCATGGGATACAAGGCTAGGTCAAGCTTAGTCTTGGACGAAAGACTACTTCAGACAACACAGACCGGGAACTAAACTTGGGTAGAGGCACAAGTTTCTGCACTTAGAAACTTCTAACTTAAGGTTCATTGGAAGAAGGGACAATAAAAATGCTGTGTGCATTTAAAATATTTTACAAGTGCAAGACCTTCACCCCCTAAAGAAGTCTCCTCCAACCAATTCAAAAGTGATCAGACTGGGCTACAAATTGATAAGGGTTTGATAATCTCCCTCATGATAAAATGTATCACTCTGAGAAAACAAAAGACCCTGATCATATCCATGGATGGACACACCCAACATTCCTTCTCTTCATCAAGCACTTGAGTCAGCACAGCTTCAGTTGCCAGGAGCAACAGTTCATACCAGAAGAATGTGGTTTCGACATTCAAATACACACAAGTGCTCTATTGTTTGCAATGGATTCAGACTCACAGATGTACAAATAAAATAAAAATTTAAATACTCTAAATAACAAAATAAAGCTAATAAGTGCCAAAGAGTTTTTATTAAAGAAATATTCTGTCTACATTACATAAATGTAAATGCTTGGTGTTTTAAGTACACCTTCCTTCTATTGCATCATGAATTTAAAATTTTTCCTCCAAAAAAAAAAAAAATCACAGCTAGGAAACAGCCGGTGAGATGGCTGGAGGATGTAAAAAGGAAAGCAGTGGGAGAGAGGAATTAGTAAAAACAAAGTAAAATGACATATCTGTATGAAAATGCTGTAATGAAAGCACCTGTAACCCCAGCACCCTGGGAGGCAGAGGCAGTGGCTCAGTGGCCAGCATCGTCTAGGGTCCAGGACAGCCAAGGCTACACAGAGAATGCCTGCCTAGAAAAACAAAACAAAACCAAAAACGCTGTAGTGAAACCCATTATTTAGTATGCTATGTTAATTTTTTTAATCACACCTTCAGTGGGGTGTGGTACTGTATACCTATAATCCTTGAAGATGGAGACTTGTGCACCAGGACTTCAAGGTCAGCCTCAGCCACAGCAAGTTACAGAATGTTGGAGACCAGCATAGAATTAACTGAGATCTGATCTTTTTCTGTGACAGTTTCTCTGCATAACAGCGCTGGCTGTCCTGGAACTCACTCTGTACCAGGCTGGCCTCGAACTCACAGATCCTCCTGATTCTTCCTCCTATATCCTGGGATTTAAGGTGTGCTGGGACTCGGCTACAGCTCAGTCTTCAGGAGGCCCCATGTTTATGCCCTGATACCAAAAATTAAACTTCTATCTGATATGTAATTCAACAAGATGCTTTTGAATATGTTTGATGTTGGAGACAGTATCTGGGAACAGGAAGGAACAGTCCATGTTCTGGAAGGAGACACACTCAGCAGGTAAGTGTAGGCGAAATGAGTACTGAGCAGTGATTTTTGTGGTGAAGCTCTAGAGATCGTCCTGCAAACTGCAAGTGTGAGTTAATAAAGCAGAAAGGCAGGTAAAGTGAGAATGACCCGAAGCATGGGGAATAAAGGAAAGAATACTTACCAGGACTGTAGCATTTGAGCAGGAGTTACTAAAGAGTCCTGACATTAATGAAAAGAGTTAATTTCTGTTTTGTTTGTTTTATGATGGCATTGGTTATGAACCACCCTGGGATAATTTAAAAAAAAAAATCTCTCAAATAATTTTCTGTGTTGCGTGGTTTTGAGTAAGACCCTTATTGAAAAAATTATTTTATACTGACATTCATTCAGTCCTTTTTAGAAAAAAAACCTGATTCGGAAATTTATTTCACAGTACAAAAATGTTATGAATGCTATCGCTTGAGCACCTTGTAGCTGGAACTCACTGGCTGTCCTCATTACCAATTAAGGAAAGATTTCAAAGCTGTTACTCTCACTCCAACGGACCTAGCTTTTTCTAATATAAACCACACATTAAGGCATGCACACTTCCAAACAGATTCTAAAAGGACCCAAATGAGAAGCTTTTCAGCTGAGTTTTGCACTCAATTTAAAAGGCCATTTTTAAATAAAAGTGCAAATTTCAACCAACTTTCCAAAGTATTTTGTTCTTGTCAGTTACTAAGGAGAACATATAGCACTAATCAAAGTAATTTTATTTTTAGTAACAAAATATTTTAAAATCAGTATTACCTAGAATTGTGGCGATTTTACTGACATGGAAGTTTTAGGAATGTTTTCAATAAAAAATTCAAACTCATAGGCAAACAGACACACATATATAAATATTTAAACTTTGTTTCAAAAAATGAATATATATATATATATTCGTTGCAGTTGGAATAACAGACAGGCCTCGAACTCAATAATCCTCAGGCCTCTGCCTCCTCAGTGCTAGGATTAAAGGCATATGCCACCACAGCCTTGCTCACGTAAATTAAAAAAAAAAATTTTTTTTAATGTTAAGTGACAGATATTTGGTGAATAATCATCTCTGCTCTCTATAGCTGCTACAAAGTATGTCCTCGATTTTTCTATTAGAATTTTTTTTTTCCCAATTCACTTATTTTTATGTGTATGGGTGTTTAGCCTTCAAGGGTAACACATGTGTGGTCCTGGAGGCCAGAAGAAGACTTTGGATCCCCTAAAAGTGCAGTTACACTTCAGTGAGGAATGAATGCTAGGAACTGAACCTGGGTCCTCTGGAAGAGAAGCCACTACTCCTAACGGCTGAGCCATGTCTCCAGACCTCTATTAGAAATGTCAAAGTCGGCAGTGTTGTTTCCCTCAAGATAACTGAGAACTTCAAAAGGGGCGTAGGGGTGGCACAACTGTCGTGTTGAAACTTTTAGTTGTTGACACCCTTAACTATTATCCGGGGGCTACCTTACGGAATTGTTAGCTACACCTCCCAGAATAAGTTATTATATCTTCTATGACTTTTTTCAATGCAGTACAGAGACACTGTACGCCCACTTTGCAAAACTAACAACACAGTCTTGACATTTGAGCAAGAGCTTAAAGAAAAAAACAAAACAAAACAGGAACTGTCCTGGAATAGAAGAGTGGGCAAACGGCAACAGGAAATTCCTGAATGCCCGTGCACAGCTGTAACATTACATTAAAACTGGAGGTAAATGTTAGAATTAACAACGCAATCTCGATCCTATCTCCGAGGAAGAGACGAGGGAGGTATTGTTGAAACCATACTCTCCATAAACACTGGACCGTTCACCAACCTTACATCACAGGCTATTAATGTGGGTTCCTACACGCTGAGGTGCTTAAGCACTGTTCCCTTTCAACCAAGTGTCAACCCTGCGTGCGAGCCGTCCGAAGTCAGCAGAGCAGGGACGTCCGCAGGAACTGGAGGCTAAAGCACCTGGCTCCTTGGCACTCGGATGACTTCATCTCCTCCGGGCCGGGCCGGCCCTTGACCGCTTCCCTTGCGATTCCCGGCCCGCAGGAGTCACTGGGCAGGCTCCACCCCGCCAGCTACTGCAGCTCTGGGACAGGGCCCGTCCCTTCCCGGCCCCAAGCCGCGCTGTCCCGGGGGAAGCGGAGGGCTGGGGCCCAGCCAGCGAGCTCACACGCGGCAGGCGCCCGCCCTGGGCGGAGTGGAGGGGTTGGCGTGGAGGTTTTGGGGCCCTGCCCGGCCCGCCTGGCCCAGACCCCCCGAAACAGCCGGGGCAGCGAGGCCGGGACCCCGGCGACCCCGCGGCTCCCGCCCGGGCTGCACGCTCGCCGTGCGCACGCGCCGCGCTGGCCGCCGGTGGGCCGCAGGCTGACAGCTAGTGCGGGCCGGGGGTCCGCGGAGGGTCCGCAGGGGTCATGGTTCGCAGCTCCCACAGAGTCCCTCACCTCGGTAAACGGGTCCATCGCCCCAGGCCTCGCGTGTGTACTGCGCGACGCGGGGTCCGGCTGTCGAAGCCCAGGAACAGGAGAGAAGTGAGTGCGGGCTCGGCGCAGGTGCCCCGGGAGAGAAGGCTGCAAGGCCGGGTGCGGGCTCGCTCACGCCCCGTCGGCTCGGCCCTCGGCGCCGGGGTCTGTAGGCTAGCGGGGCCGTTCAAATTTGAATTTCAGCGCTCCGGGCGGCGCGCATGCGCGCGGGGCCAGGCGGGCCGCCCTCGCCCCGCCCCGCTTGGTCACGTGACGCGGCCGCCGGCCCGCTGGTCCGGAGCGGCGAGTCTGCGCTCGGCTGCGTGGGTGGGGACGCGCCCGCCGTTGAACTGCCCGAGGACGGCGCCCTGCCGCCACGCCCTGCCGCCACGCCTGCCCTAGCGCGGCCCTTCGGGGTTCCGTCGGCTCCCGCCGCCCTGCCTTCTTCCTCGGCGGGCCCTACGAACCCGTGGGCCCTATGTCTGCTGCCGCCAGAAGAGGGACCGGACTGCCAGCGTGACCCTCCCGAGGGGCCTCTCCGATGGGTCCCCACACTCGCTGCGAGTGGCCAGTTCTTTGTCCTTGGGAAAATGAGAACAGTAATAGACGGTGCGACAAGTTCATTTTAAACCCCAGCCAACTATCCAATGCCAGCCCCGAGAACACTTGACAAGCCTTCTAGCTGTCATTTGGGAGACGGGACAATTGAAAGGCCCGTATTTAATAAGTTTCCTTTTACTAGCCAGTAAGCAGGACAGAAACTATTTCACCAATATCTCTTAATCTGAGTCTCTTTTTCCTATTCCTGGGAGGGTCTTTTGGAGATCCTCAGTGTCTATTATCATTTTACATCCAGAGCTAGGCCTTCCCGGAATGCAGTGTCTAACGAAAACAGGCCAATTAACCCCTGATAGTAGAACTGTTTGCCGTCATACACCAAAAAGTCAAGAAAGCATCAAAATCTGTGTGCCCAGGTTGCTGCTGTGAGACCTAAAGTCCATAGAAGACTGTGTAAAAGAAAAATAGGTTAGCAAGGCCTGTGAAATGGGTCCATGACAGGATCAACAGAAAAATCATTATGAAAGTGTTGAAGGATCAAGTTCAGGATCAGAAAGATAAATAAATAGTCAGCTTGGGGCCAGCAGTGCAGCTTGTGCTATAAGAGCACCTGCTGCTGAGCCTTGGGACCTGAGTTCTAGACCCAGAATCAGTTCCAGCAAATTGCACTCTGACCTTCACACACACAGGAAACAAATACGAGTTAAAACAACAACAACAAAAAAATGATGTTTCTATCTAATTAATAAAACATTCTTTAAAATCTATAGGCTGTAATAGACTGAATTCTGAGCATGGAGTAAGACCAACTTCTTAAGAATCCAGCTTCCGCTGGGACCATATTATAACAGGAAGAATAAGCTTCCTGTTGGAGGCTCCTGTTTGGAGCCTCAAAATGATAGAAAAAGGGAAAGTTTGTCTAAGTGTGTGGGGTGGGGGCTTGTTATAATTTAAGTTGAAAGGACTACCTATGACCCAAGGGGGAAAGGATGCCTGAACGTTTTTTTCAAGTACCGACTAGGAAAGGGGTATGCGTACCTGGGGTGTGTCCCTGTTTCTCAGTCTTGGGAATGAGTCACTGGAAATTTATGTAGCCGTTGTGCCTTCTAGCTATTGCCTCTGTAATCCATGGTTACATTATAAACAACAATTTGATTCTAGCCAGCTCGGACAAAGCAGTACAGCTACTGTAAACTTATAGCTCCTCTGCCCTTACACACGCTGTAGCGCTGGCCTCGACTGTGTCTTCAGTGTAGTGGTCATAGGGGTAGCAGCATGCACAATAGCTCCCCTGTGTGAAGCATCTGCTATAGGCCAGAAACCCTGCTACGGATTCAAGGCCACACCCTCAGACTACTGCAGATGTCTCCTATATGTCTATGTAAATTTCTGACCCATGGCAGGTCATTATTAAGTTTATAAGCTGGAATAACTTTTCTCATAAAAAAAAAACAACAACAAAAACATTGCTGAGTGTGGTGGTAATACATACAATCTCAGCACTTAGGAGGAGGACAACATTATATCCATTTAAGATGATAACCAAAGGGCTAGAGAGATGGCTCAGCAGCCAAGGGCACTGGCTGCTCTTCCAGAGGATCCAGGTTCGGTTCCCAGCACCCACACAGTGGCTCATCGCCACCTGTAACTCCGGTTCCCAGTGTCCAGCACCCCCTTCAGCCTTTGTGCACACCAGGTACACACACATGCACAGACATACAGGCAGGCAGAACACCCAAACACATACAAATCTTTTGTGAAAGACACGGATCTCATGCAGACGTAATGAGCCCTAGAAAATGAGTATTTCCTCTTCAAAAGATCTGTTCTTTCAACCAAATAATTATGTCTTTTGTAGATAAAATTAATGGAGAGCTAAAAAAACAAAACAAAACAAACAAAAAAAAAAACCTCAAAAATATGGTAGCATTGACTTTTTCAAGGACACTCCAAAAATATATATATTTCCAGTTAATTTTTCAAGATTCACCTACATTCTCACAATTAACAAAATAATACAATAACATAAATAATTGTGTTTTTACAGAAAAAGAAAAGGCCAAGACCTGACCAGAAGGCAGTGGCAAGAAGGATCAGACAAAAGCTCTCCACCTCGGGTTATCTGGCCTCTCCTTTTATACATGTATTATAATGAAATGAGAACCACCAAAAGTTAATATCAAGTGGGGGTGGTAGCCCATGGCTGAGGCAGGATGATTTTCAGTTCAAGGATAGCCTTGGCTACATAGTGAGTTTCAAGCCAGTTTGGGCTACCTAGTAAGAACTTTTTTCAAAAACAGTTTTTTTTATATACGGGTGGGCTGGGTGGTGCATGCTTAATCCAATTGACTAAGGTGACAGGATCACAAATTTGAAGCCATCCTGGGCCATTTAGTGAGATTGTATGTTAATTTAAAATGCCTTGAGTGAGGTTACGATAGAGTGCTTGTATGGCACGTAGAGGAGGCCCTGTGCACAACCCCGAGTAAAGGGTTTCTCTGTGGGGTAGCCCTCCTGGGCTCACTGTGAAGACCAGGCTGCCTTAAATTCACAGAGGTCCACCTGCCTCTGCCTCCCCAGTGCGGGGATGAAAGATGTCCACTCCCATGGCCCTCATGTTCCTACATTCTTTAATTGAGCATCAAGGATAAATTTCCTTTCAATTTGATTCCAGGAAATACATCAAGTTTACTATACTTCATGATCTTCTACAATGTCAAAATGCATCTCCTCTCCCAGTAACCCTTCTAAATGCCGAGTTCATAAAGCCCGTCTCACTTTCCTTTTCCCTGCTTTCCAGTCTGACAACATCCCAGTTCTGGTAGTTCATCTTCTGCCATGACAAAATGTCAAAATTAGTCTTTTTGTTTGTTTGCTTGATTTTTTGAGACATGGTCTGTATATTTTTCTGACTTCCCTGGGGCTGGTTGTATAGATCACAGAGATCCTTCTGCCTCTGCCTCCCAAATGCTAGGACTAAAGGCATGTGTCACCATGCCTGGCCAAAACTGAGTAATTTTTAAAGAGGTTTGTTTCTTATAATTTTTATAATTATATAGTACATATTATATATAATATATTATATATAATTCTTATAATTTTATAGTTCAGCAGCCTAAGATCCAGGCTCCACAGTTAGTGAAGGTCTTCTTGCACAGCAGAACATGCTTGTGGTGCCAACCTTTGATGTGAGTGGGATCACTAGAGGTGAAAACCAATCCACAAAGTTGCCCTCTGACTTCTACAGGCATGCCCTAGTATGCGTGTGCCACTCACTGTACAGTCGTACAAAAATAAGTAAGAACATTTTTAAGTATTTTGAGATGATATACTTACATCACTTCTCTTTCTCTAAGCCTTCCCCACACACTTCTGTTCTTTCAAATTTATGGCCTTTTTTTAGTTGTTATTACTTCCATGTGTGAGCATATTTGTGTTTATATATTTCTAAATAAAACTTGCTCAGTCTGTGTAATGTGACTTGTGTGTTTCTGTTTTCAGGGTGACATTGGGTATTGACTAGTCAGTTGGTGTGCTTGTCCCTGGGGGGACTGTTTATGCTGCTCTCGCCGTTTCGTAGTTGCCTATTTTTGGACAGGACTGAGGCCTCATAATCTCTGATTGGTGTCATCTTTGTTCACCTCATGCTTAGGCAGGCATGTTGGTGAGACTTTCTGACGTTTATTGGAGATGGAATCTCACAGCAAACTCCCTGTTCCTCTTGCTCTTACAACCTTTCTGATACCCCTTCTGCAGTGATCCCTGAGCCTTAGGTACAGGAGTTGAGTTGTAGACATATCAGTTGGAGCCCGACTTCACAACTCTGCATTTTATTTGGTTGCGGTTCTCTGTAATGGTCACTGTTGCAGAGAGGAGTTTCCTTGATGAGGGTTAGGACTACGCTCATCTGTGGGTATAAGGTCAAATATTTAGAATGTAATTATGCTGATTTAATGAAGTACTGGTTGTAGGTTTTTCTCCAACATCCATAACTTCACTAGTCCCAGGCATGATGTCCTTCCTGTTGAGCAAGTCTTAGTCCAGCTAGAGAGTTGTTGGTTACTGACAAGGCACATGTGCCACTAAGGCACCCTTGAGGCCGTCATGCCATGTTGGTCATTATTGTGATTCATAGGTGTCATAGTTGGGCAGGACTGTTGTTTCCTCCCCTCCTTTGAAAACCTGCCCAGCACCTTCTGGCACCAAGAAAGCTGGTCCTCAGGGAGGAGGGATTCAGGTCAGTTCCAGTTCAGGGGCCTCTGGACCCTGTGTCTGAAGTGCCTGGTGTCTTCAGCAAACATACCCTTGCCTCTTAAACGTTTTACCGTCTTTAATAAGTAACATATGGGCTAAACCTTTGGAAGACTTACCCATATCACTTGATTTCTTCCCCAAACACTGATCAACCTCTTTTTAAATTTTTATTGACACATACTAATTATATATAATAATAGCTTTCATAATGACATA